TTAAATGGGAAGAGAATGGGGTCTTTGATTTGTAAGGAACTGTATTTGAATATTTTGTTTTAAACATTATTAATATTTAATATAAATTAATGTTTTTAATAATACCACAATGGTTCATCTTTTCATTTGTTTTCATTTCCAAGATTAAATCTGTATTTCTGCTCGCAAGTTTTATTGAAAATATAGACTGAGAGAAGAAAAATGGAACTTGGCTATATTGTCCAGCTCATAGGACAAAGCTGATATGTACAGAGTATAGTCAAAAAAAAGTCTAAAGAAAAATTTAAACTCTTAATTTTATAGTCCTTACAGTTTTGAAATCCTCAGTGTGAGGCCCTATGGTCTGAGTTGAGGTCTGTGCTCAACTGTACCTGCAAACGTATACAAGTTTTTTTTCCAAGAAGGCAAATACTAGTTTTTGAGCAAAATACCAAGCTTGTGAGGTCATTCTTCTTCAATACCATTGAGAGGTCATTGCTTTCATTTTTCCCTAATGCATTAATAATAGATTAGAGGGAGCTGCAAGCATCTCTGTCATTTGTAGATCCATAATATATTACAGTTTGTTTCAGCTGCGTTTGCTTAATTAATAAGGAATACATGATATTTGTCCCATCTGTTTGTGGGAGTAATATTTACATCCCAAGTATTAGGAAAATGTATCAATAAAAATTACAGTATTAATAATGACCATTATCCATTTGTTTACATATAGTTTTAAACTCATTTTTATATAGGACTGTGATTGATGATACCTTTGAATACTTAGCATTGTTTTTCTATGATTAGGTTACCTGTGGACTGAATGGGTCTGTCTGTGGTAAAAAAGACAAACGATTTTTAGGAATTTCCTCTAAAAAAAATCCCCAAATTGCCTGTGCTAGTATAGCTTCAGTGATAGCAATGAAACTGTATGCTTTAGGAGAAAAAGTTGGGTTCCTCTTGAAGTCAACAGGAAAGCTCCCATGGTTATAGGCAAAGCAGTCAGTCAAAACTGACAGTAAAACAAAGCAAAGGAAATCCATGAAGTACAGTCCAGTCATGTCACTGCTGATATCTGGAAGTAATTTAATGTTAATATACTTTCTATTTACAAATACTAGAATATTTATAGGAGCCTTTATTTGAATGTTTTTCAGCCTAGCTTGGAAAATGACTCTTACTTTATTTTTATCAGTGACAGGAAAGGAAAAATAGGATATGAGCATATGTTGAGGTTCACCTGTATCCTAGAACATAAAAGGTCTGATTTTGACATGTAAGTCATGTCATGACATGAGCTCACAGCATCTGACAGGTATTCCTTGCCATTTTAATGGTAGGCTATGAATGTGAAACTTTGTCAGCAAAGGCCTAGATTAGGAGAGAATCTAAATGGCAAACTTTATACACAGTTCTATGCTATTTTGCTGCATATCTGACATTGATGGGTTTTACTGAAACTCAAGCTTCCTTCTCTCAGTTTTCTTGATCCTATTCTGCAGCTGTGCTAAAGCTTAATGCAAGTCAGAACAATATATGAAGATCACTGATCCCTTGACCCCCTGGATCAAAATGGAAGTGGGGTGGAATTCCATTGTTTTAAAGGGAATGTCTAAGATGGGCAATTTAGAATATGAACAAACACACTGAAGGAGTCTATTTTAAGTCAGGGAGGTCTCCTTTTAAAGTTACAGTTACATTAACAAACTGATGTGGCACACGGCACAAATTCTCCCTTAAAGGGTGGTGAGGAATTCCCCATACAGAGGTAACTCCTTTTCCAAGTCAAGATGGCAGTGGAAGTCAGTCGGACAGCGAGAGCATCAATGAAATCCTGTCTTCTGGTTGAAGGTCTAATAAACAGTTTTGGAAGGTGTTGTTACAAAAGGTTAGAATAGCATAGGCATGAAAAGAAAATAACTGGAAACAACGCAGATACATTTCCTTTTGTGTCACATATTTGGACAAAAAGGATGCTACTTTCATATTTTTCCTGAGGTGGTTGTTATCTGAATGCATATTTATATTGTCTCAAAACTCTTGTAACCCTGTGATGCAGTCCTTAACATGAATATGCCTTTGTGCCTCGCATTTGAGCTTTAACACCAGACAGAGCAGGTCTGGGACCAGCTTTCACTGAATGACTTTTTTCTTCTCTCCTTCATCTCTCATCCTGAATTGTTTTGTGAAGTCATATTATCAGCCCCCCCCTCTGCCTCCTGAACTTGAATCCTTCACTTTCTTAAAACCTGGATATTGGATAAAGTATATTTTTACTCAAAGAAATTAATCCTCTATCAGCTGTTCAAAACTGTATTCTTTAGAGGTTTAAAGATGCAAGTCGTATATGGATTCTCTGCCAAATACGCAAAGCAGGGAAAGGAGACTTGATAATCCGGGCAGTGGAGCTTTAATGAAACAATGTCCAAGTAATCATACAAATCACCATTTGGCTAGCTTTTTTGGACAAAGTAGCTCATTCTCCATCTGCTAGATGGTAAGACTGCATGGCATAGAAGCAGACTAGAGTTCTTCCTGCTTTGTGTCATCACAGTTCAGTAGTATTATTGTGTCACTGGTGTTTGCACTCTGCTTTGCTGGTACTCAGTGTTTTTTTCCATAAGCTTTTTCTTCCAACAGAAATGTCAGACTGAATATTCATTTTTTTAAAGATAGCCTAATACTATAATAGGACTATAAAATTACTGATTCTCTTTGACATGTATCTCAGAGTAGCAATCATTGTTTAACAGCCAAATGATAATGGAGATCAAATCCCATAGGGATTCTCCAGTGATTGCACATATGAGGGTATCCTAAGCCACGTGTTGCATTAAGTCTGTTTTATAATCTATGCCGTAAGGTTGGTGAATGTTTCTAGGCTTTTTAGAGTAACTTGCAAAAATACCTGCAATATTTCTTTTTGGTCAGCTTCCACAACAGGACATATAATTAATGCTGGTGAGATTTTTAGCTTTTACTATTCCAGACAGTTTTTGCTGTGTTTTTCATAGTTGACCATACATATGTATGTATAGGTCTTTGGATAACACTGTTAAACAAAGTTCTAGCTCTGTGGATTGCTACTAGTTACGCTATATTCACTCTTGTTTTTTTAATTAAAAGATCTTGCTTACTAGAAATTGCTAATAACACTTACCTAAATCCAGATGGCTATGATACGACTTCATTAGCACGTCACTCACTGTCCCAGTTAAAGAATATTCTTGCAAGCTATAGACATATCAAGTACATAGTCATATTTAACCATAATAAAGTACAGCAAAGTATTTTTCCTTTCGCTTTATAATAACCATACAGCCACTCTTCCTTGCAAACTACAGCAATCCCAATGTTCAAAAAGCTGAAGCTAATTAACATTTCAAACGGGTTATTCCAAATTTACCTTAGAGCTTCCAATGCAGTTGCACACTTCGCAGCATGTTTTTGGGAGACCCTTGCATTTCCCCCCTGGGCGTGGTGATGCTTGTTGGAGCGCCCCCTATTCCCCTCCGGCTAACCCCTCTCTAGCCTGCTAGGTAGACTAGCAACCTGCAGAGTAAGCTATAAAATGTGTGCTTAGTGTGCTGGCTACATCGGTTCCATCTTATCACTGCAGTCCAACAAAATAGAGTTTTTTAGCTTTCTCATACTTCAGAAGGATTAGTGTTTGGCGAGGCTTGTAGGAAAGCTCTGTGGCAGCCTAAGCTAGCACAGCTGCTACAAGAAGCGCTTATTCCCCTCTGCCTGCCCCTTGTTGCTTAGTCTCACTTCTGTGCCATTGCTTTCCCTTTTGTTGGCACAAGCTTTTGTACAGCTGTGTGTTGAAAAGCGCTAGGGAAAAGATCCAGGTTAGTGTTAACACAAACAAACAAACAAACCAAAATGGTTACGTTAAATCTGATCAGCTGATAGGTCAGACCTTATAATACTTAGAAACCACATGATCAGAGCCGTTCTAAAAAAGAATTAATCAGCACCATCCAGCATATATTTTCACGAATGGTAAGATAAGTCCTTGCTAGCATGCTAGCATGCCAAGTCCTATCTGAGAGACTGCCCAGATCTGAACTATTGTTCCTGAACTGAACAATAAGGATTTTGTTGATGTTAAATCCAGTGTTAAAGGTTATATTCTGCACTAGATTTGAAAGCCATATTTTAGGGCATCCATGAACACTGAATCACCTGTTTTCATGTTAGTTCATGTGCATTGTACATCTCAGAAATCAGATCCACAAAGCAGAAAGAACCTTTTAGCATCTAAGGGAAAAGGGGATAAAAGGTGTCTGAGCACTTCTCGGCTGATTGGTTAGGGCATCGCACAGTGTAGTGCCACCTTTGTATTTCCCATGGAGCCAAAAATGGGATTTGACAGACTTATTTCCTCCTTTGTATTCTTTCTAACGTTGGAAATCCATACCAGGCATCTGGGCATAGTCAAATATATATTTTCAGGGAAAAAACCTTTTTATATTAATTTCTGAATATAGTTTTACAAGGCAATAGTCCCCGGGCCACTAATGGCTGTGCACTTCAGTAAAGACGTGCTTCAGTCCCAAGTCTGTCAATATTCTATATCGTATCTACCTTGAACAAGTCCTTTGAGTGGGAAAATGTAGAGAAACCCCCCCCCTCAACAGTGAACTTCTTATGTATACCATGCAACATGTGAAAAATGACTCAGCAGATTGCTTAGAGTTTATACATTTACGTATAGTGGCACAGTTTAGTTTGCTCTTTGTGATGTACATTTCACAATGGGGTGCGTCCTTCCTTCAATACTGAAGCAAAAATGAGGGAGTAAGAATGAGGCATCCTTTTGGGATCTTCCATTCACTCCAAGTGCATCTGTGGCTTAGTCTCATTAGTCTTTCAACTTCATGGCTTGTCAAAAGAATTACATAACTGAGGCTTTACGTACTGATATTTTCATTGCGTAAGTATCAACTGCTTGTGTATGGTAGGAAGAATCATTGTACGTTTATGCTATCTGTCTAAAAGAAATGAGGTACACAGACAGTTATTCTGTGATTTATTAACTTATATTTCATCCACATTTTTTCGGTTATGAGTACTTCTTGTATACATAGACTATGCAGTAAAATGACTAATATGCAAATACATCATTCATTGTACCTCAAATATACATAACACTTCACAAATCTTTTACAGAAAAGCAACGGACACATTAAGTTAATGGGAATAGCAGTCGTATGTCTGAAATCAGTAGAATAATTGAAATGAACCTGGAATATGGAAAAAAAAAGTGTGGATTAAAGACAAGCTAGAACAATTTAAATGCTTGTTATTTCTTCTCTAACCGTACATTTTCCATGTCGTAATATATTATGCCAAATTTTGTCACCAATTGGATCCGCAGAGGTTCACTAAAGGCAGTACATTTTGATTAATATGAGTGATATTAGACTACACTTATTAGGATAGCCAGCGCACAAAACACAAATAGCGCAAGAAGAGGAACAGAATTTGGAGAATGTGGAAGGGATGGCTTCCAAATCCATGCACAGACGAATAAAATGAGAGATTATGTTCAGTTCCTTTAGTTATTTAAGAATCTTTCATCTTGAACAGTGTTGTGGTTTCTTAAACATGTATGTTTCAGTGATATTTTTGACAAAAAAGAAGCTTTAATACCTAATACATACTTAAAAGTCTTTGGATAGTGACCAGAAAGTGGAGACAGTGATGAAGGAGTGAGATGTGGAGAGAATATGGATGTACTTGAAGAGATTTTAGCGTACTTATTTTGAAAATGATTGGCAACTGTTTGCTCCCATTCGGGCTGGCTGTTCCATACCATCAAACAAACAACTCTGAGAAGAAAATGCAAGACTGCAGTAATTCAAAATGAGGTTTTTCTGTTTCTTGTCAGTTCTGTTTCTTGTTCTGAACAACTTAGATTTCCTGCTTATCTGATATTCAGAGCATAGCCAAGAAAATTAATCTTAGTACAAAAGACTTGAAAACATCCCAAATGCTGTGTCCAGGTCTAGTCACTTTTAAAGTATTTAGCAATACGTCTGTTGACTCAGTTTCTTTATGTTTGATACAAATGAAAAATTAAATAAAAGCAAAAATTAACTAAATGAAATTAGCTAAACTTGATTTCAGAGCAATGGCTAAAGTCACTTGATCTTTCAAAGGCTCATACATAAATTCAGTCCCAGTAGAATAAGCTTTATGTGTCCATGAAGTTCTGAAACTGTGGGTGGTTTCACTAACAGTCCAGTGCAGTAATGAGAAAGTGTTATAAAATACTAACTCTAGACACTTTCCTTATCCCTACAATATTTATTTGTTGTGTTTGTTTTCTCAAAGACAATATAGCGCTTAAATTTTTCCCAGTTGTGCTCCATCTTTTTTTCACTCTAAAAAAGTAAAGTAGTCAGGTATACAATATACCACTCAAGCGACTGAGATACATCCTTAGAAATTCTTTAAAAACGTATTTGTTTTATTGTTTTCATTGTTTATTTCTTTCTTTCTCCATCTTATATTATTATAGATAAAATGTATCTTGGACTGCAAGTGCTAGAAGTTACTAAGACAACTACTTATAGCAAATCTACATGTTTGCTGTTCCAAATATAATCCAAAAAAACCCATTTGTAATGACTAGCAAGTCAGTAAATGACTGATGCTAGGGTATTAAATCTTAAGCGTTTAAACTTCTGTTGATTCGAACTACATCTGGAATCTTTCCGGTAGGAGTGGCTAAATAGTGACATTTGATTGCTACTTCTGTAAGTAGAAAAATAATAAAACAAAAACGTATGAATAAGCTCTTCCTCTTAATACTGTAGTCAACCACAGTGTTTCTGTTTGCTTGCCTTTTTCTGGCATTCTGAAACAATGCAATATATTTGGCTGAGTGCATTTTCTGCACGGCCAAGTTTCATTCCTCACAGCAGTGGTAGTCAGGTCCACCCATCTGCATGAGGCTTCAGGGAAAATTGAGCCGCCTTTTTTAACCTTCCAATATTCGCTCTTTTTTTTTCCCTTGAGCAGGTGACACAACAGCCAATGGACCAGCTTAGTTTCAGATTTAAATAGGGATAATTAAGCACTTGTGATTTAGCTAGTTGTGTGCTTAGAAAACGTAAGTTCATTCTGCATCAAGATAACTGCAGAAAGAGAAGGTCTGGTGAACCATTTCCTGCCCAAAATATCTCCAAAAGCTCATTCCCTTAAAGAAACCTATTGTCTTATTGTGCATATTAATTTTCTAAGCATTTCCTAGCCATAATGATTAGTATATTAGGAGCCTATTTCTTATTGGCTTTACTGACCACTCTGTTATATTTACATAAATCCTACATCAACAATGTTACCATGGCTACATAAGTACAATTTAACCTAAGAGGCAGCTTATTGAAATATCTGATACTAAAGCAGTGCTGAGATTGAGTCTACATACTCCAACAAAACAAGCAAAGTATTCTCTAATCAACCGACTTATGCTGATCACAGTTCTCCAGCCTGAAATTTCTCTTTTATATTTCTGAAAAGCTAAACATATCAACACAACCTAATGGCATACTTATTTGATTTCCTGGATCAGTATTACCCTATTAAAATTTTCTTTCAGAAAAGATTTTCCTTTCCGAGGTGATAATCCAATTCGTTTGCTAGAATATTTGTCGTTCAGTCAAAAAAAAAAGTCCAGATGGTTTTTATCACTGCATTGATTATCTGAGAATAAACATTGCAAAAAAGGGATAATATTTTTCACAAGTGAAGAGAAATTACTGATATTGATCAGCTGGTGATTCAGGGTTGGGTTAGATGCCATTTAAATATCTTTTTGAAAATAAAGATAGTAATGCCATTCAAAGCATTCTCCTGTGTTTGTAACATCCTTATCGATATACAACACCCTCCTCCCCACCACCATGTTATCTCATTTTCTCTGTGGCTTAAAACACTTTGCTTCGTCTCTTTGCCAGGAGATACTTTCTCTATAGGTTTTTTTACTCTTAAATAAAAGGCTGCAAGAGGAAAAAGATAAAGGACAATCTTAAAGAACTAGATTTCTAGTAAAAGAGACACAAAGAAAAGTGAGATAATTGTTTGGAAAACTGACTAAATAGTGATCTTTGAGCTCTTATTGAATTTTCTGTATACACCATTTGAGGACCTTTGCTTCTATTTTTCAAGTATTCAGGGAAAAATCACTTCTATGAAAGGTTTGCTATGTTTCCTTTTTCTCATTTCTATGGCCTTCTTCAAATAATATTTTAGTATCCTATTAAACTGAACACTTCAGCATAACTTCAACTGCAGTGGACATAGATATTATAATGTAGTAAACTAAGTAAACTGAGAATTAGTTGACTGTAAGACAATATAATTTTGGAAATAGTATATCCAGGTGTTAAACAATACTAGGTCTGTCATGTTATGTTTTTTGTTATTTCCATTATTTTATTTTTGAATTTTAGTTTGTGTATAAAAACTTTTCATAGACATAAATTCACCAAACTAATAGAATAAACTCTAATACTTGCTTTTAGTCATTGGCAGGAGGAACATAGCTATCTTTCATTAAAGTGATTAATAAATGTATGTCAGCTGTTCCTATGAGTCACACATTTTAAATCTAATGAGACAACTTCTTTAGTACTGTGTGCTGAGAGGTGTTGCTGGAGTAGGGTATTCCACTAATTGAGTTTGCACAGAACAGACAAATTTCTGGTGGGACATTCAGTACAGGATGCTGCCTGCCCAGGACTCCTTCCTCGGCCGTACGGAATGTGACCTGTTCTTATCAGCTCTGAGGACATACTGCAGGGCTAGGTGCCGATGTGACTTGACTAAAAGTTTGGGGATTTTTCTTTCAGGTTTATAATTGGGAACATATGCAGAAAGCAAAAAGTACTGGGAATTTTTCTGACAGAAAACTGGTGATTAATTGCTGAAAGCTTAACATTTCAAACATTTCGTAGGATTGCTTCACTTATGCATGCTAGGGTTTTGAAAACCTCTCAGCTGCAATGCAATGTCAAAACAACCCTGTGACTAGATTAAATAAATTAAACAGCCTATGTCAAGGACACCATAAGTTCTGTACGAAAATTAGTTTAATGAAGTTATTGTTGCACAACATCATCTCAAGAGGTGGCACAGAAGTGCTTCTGGGCAGTTATCTTGACCATTTTGCTAAGTTATGAGCTCTAAGGTTGGTTATTTCAGTGCAAAGAGACACCTGCTGGCATCTTGGATAAAAAGGGAAAGGTCCCAAACGAGCTTTCAAGAATGATACATCAGAGGAAAGCACCTATAGGTACCTCATTGCTTTTCCAGATCATTTATTTGCTAGTCTTTTTTAGGAAGAAAAGGTTCATCATAAAATTTTACACGGAAAGATCTGTAACACTGGATGCAATTAAAATATACTCCAGGAGGCATTGTTGCTCTCTCACTTTCTATTCAGAAAAAAATTAAAAAGTAGTGTAAGTAACCCTAGCTATCTAATGCGCTGATGCTAAATGTTTGCAGTTTCTCAGCGTACAAAGTTCTGTTTTTGTTTTTTTCATTAAACCTTACACAAACATAGTAAAGAAAAGTACCTCTAATCACTAGTCTTGCACTTCCCTTTATAGTGTACAGTTTCTGCTTAGATTTTCTCGTAGAATATGCTTTGGCTCTTTTGTTGTTTTTCTTTTTAAAGAAAAATAATTCAAATATGGCAGTTGGATGCAGATTGTGACAAAGTCCAGATTCTGCAGCACTTCATGGGCATGGGTCTAGATTCTGCAAAACTGCTCTTGGAAGCTGTGAAGGGGAATGCGAAAGGGAGGGACTGCAGCTCCCAAATGCTGTGATTTCCTGCCTGTAGGATCAGTGAGCTGTATAGCTCCATAGCGTCTTGCTACCACCCTCATCTGGAGCTAGTGGGGGAAAGGTACATATGTTGGAGAGAAAAGACGAGGGAAGAGCAGAACCTGTACCCGACAACTTTGTCAATGTTTTATTATTTCAGAGCTCTCTAAGAATTTACAAGGTGAATTTTTTAATACTAAAGTGTGGCTGCCTTCAAGGCTGGCAGACACGAGGATCAATAAGCTGCTCCTGCAAAAGTAATATACATACTTTGTCCCTTCTCATATCTCCCAGTTGACTATGCATAGGTAAAAATGAAATAAATGTGGTTCTGAGTGTGTACAGGGCTTTACCTATGGAATACTCTCATGGAATTTGAGCATAATGTATTCTGTTCTGTATCATTATCATTTGACTCTAAATTTTTAGAGTACACCAGCTCAGCTGGCATAGTAATTGCAAACCTCCACTTAGTTATAAGTTTGTTTTCTCCTTGAGGCATTTTTCATTTTGAAACAACATTTTTATTTCCATTTTTTGCTACTTAGCAGGCTGAAGAGTTTCTCAGGGAGCCATTTATTTGAAAGTTATGAGCTCTAAGTTTTTGGGAGCTTTTTTTTTGTTTCACCTATTTCACCTTCTTCAGAAGAGGTAGTGGCTCTCAACATGTTAATAAAACATTTTTATACTCATCCTACTTCTCCTATTCCGAACTTATTTAAATTACAAAGTCTAGAAATATTTACAAATCATGCTGTATACCTCCCTTGGTGCAATAGGAAAAACAGGAAAAGAATCTGCTAGGCAGAAACATCATATTGTAACATTAAGGTACTTCATGAAATAAAAAAGAAACATCTGAGGCCTGGATTATTTCCCTGTAAATCAATTACAGCTGATGAAATAGTAATTAACAATGCAATTTGTGAAATGAAGAATAACAAAAAGTCTATTCAGACTCTGAGGGACTCTGTGAATTCTAAATTATTTACCTAAAATTGAGACAGTCCTGTGGCTATGAAACAACTCTTCAACTCTTTTAGCCTGTTGCATACATTGGTATTTTAAAAACCAGGATCAAGAGAATTCTGAATTGTCGTGCTGCTGTCCCCAGGTAGCTATATGACCCTATCTTCTGAAATATCTGTATAAAGATGAAACTTGCATTCAATTTTAAAAAGAATGGTTGCCAGAGCTCTAAGCATGTTAGATCCCTGTATATTAAGCAGGACAGAAGAACAACATGAAGAGACTGTCTGCCTCCTTCCTAAGTGCTGATTCTTTCCACTCTGCCCATTATGATATCCTTATACAGCTCTCTGAAACTAGGACTGTTTCATCCTTTAGGTTTGTCAGATCAGCAATTTAGCACTGGGGTGAGATCATCCTAAAATAAGGTCATTTTAAACTGCTACTCAGTTGCCTCAGTCCCAAAGGCAAGACTGTAAAGAAAACCCTGTGGCCTCTATGGTGTAATAGAAAATATTTATTCCAAACAAGCTCTCAACAACTTGCAATGCAGTTTTCCATGAAATCACACTGCTCTGATTGCCAGTCCCCCAGTGGAAAGTAAGCCTGGCAAAGAGGATGTTAGTAAAAGCAGACCTAGCTATGTTAATTCTTACAAGACAGAAGGGTATTTTCAAATTATTTGAGCATCCATGAATTTTTAATACAAATACTAACTGATATTTTTCTGGGTCTGTGCAGTAACTGTTACAATAAAACTATCTAATTTATTCTCATCTGATATATGGTTTCAGAGAACAGGATTCAGAAGCATCATAACACCCCAAATATTGCATGTGGAAAAAGATCAGGTAACACCCAGACACAGGAGAAGCAAATTATGTCAGGATAACACCTGAAAAGAAGGAAGACAGGACATTAAGTAGGAATGAAGACCAATTTAGACATGTCATGTTTAAATTCCCAGGAAGGCAATATCTAATGGGGAATTTATTGGTAGGTATTTCATGTACTTATCATTATGTAGCGTCTTTACCATCTGAACTTCAAAGCATCGACTAGACCCATCCTTAAAATAGATGACATTACATGTTTGTAGATATAGTAAATTCCTGATGTATGTTTTCATCGTGAAAATGTTTACGATTATTCATGTGTATTTCGCTGCTCTCTCTCCTGCTGTTTAAATGTGCATCAGTGTGGGAGCAGCATAATTAGGGAATTACTAAGTCTTAGTTAGCATCACTAAATTTCTTAAGCAATCAACACTTTATAGAGCAGCATAATTTAACAAAGAAAACTAAAAGGCAATGCGAGAACTGTCAGTACAATTTTGTCTCAAAGAGTTGACACTTTTACTTGTTACTGACGATGGAGTCTAAAGATGAGATACCTTTGTTAGCATGTCTTCTCTGCCTGTTTTTTAATAGCTTAAACTACTCCTCCTTTTTTTTTTTCCTATTTTGAACAAATGCAGATGTATATCAGCCTTTCTTTTTCACAGCTTGGTGCTACAGATCTTCATTTTAATAGCAGATTTAGAGTGGGCTGGTTTTAGTGCCTAGTTATCAGCAACTTTTTTTGCTGGTTTCTGAATCATTGTTTGAGACATCTGCTTGCACTGTCAGCCTAGGAGCTGTCTTTAAATTCATAAAAGTAACATCCTTGACATGTATAATTAACCAGTTTAGAAAAAGAAAGTTGACTGACAGCTGTACATGGTCAGGAAAAAAGCCTGTTACTTCGCACAAATTCATATGACCTAATTGACCTAATGGAGCAGGAGGAATTAATGATGTTTTAAGTCATTTCTCCTGTCATCTATGTCTCTCCCTTTACCATGCTTAATGTTTTCAGCTTTCCCACACAAGATAGCAAATACCTTTCCATAGAGGATGATCACAAGTTTGTCTGCTTTTCACTGACAATATGTAATTGTCCTTTAGAAATAAAAGAACAACTTTCATTTTCAGCATTGGGGGGAAAACAGGGTTTTTGTTAATGGTGTTGACAATGGATCTGCAGAAGTGCAGATAGGTGAGCAGTGTGGATAACATGCTCAGAAGGAAAAAAAAAATCTTAAAAAGTGTAAAAGCTACATAAAGCACCTGAAATTGGGTATTATTGTCTGGAAAATACAAAGAATAGGAATCTACTTTAATTCAAACATTAATCTCCGTTTTGAGTAGCACAGATAAATTTCTGAAGTACTTGAGCCAATTCTCAATTTAGGAACATTTCTAAGTAGATCAAGCATAACTCATATTCTGAATTAAATAATATTAGAAAATGATTGCCAAATTTACTTACATATCCTTCCTTGTCACCAAGGAAGGAAAGTGTAGAAATGTGTAAACACATTTAACCATCATACAGAATAAGAATACAATTCCTCATATATAAGTACAGGCCCACCTTTCATCAGTGTAAAGGGTATTAAGAAAGTTATATTATTCCAGAATCCAAGACACTATGTTCAACCTTATTAATTTTTTATGGTAGTTACTGGATGTATACACATCTTCTATAACATTGGAAAGAGACTTGCATATTGTGAATAAAACTAGGCTTATGCTTCAAATACAACTTTTGCTTTTTCCTTTTGTTATTTAAATGTCTGTTCCCTTTAGTGCTACTTGAAATGATTTTGTCCTCACTCTCTATGAACATAAATTTTGCATGCATGAATGCACACACTAATCTTGAACGTTGTGGTAGGATTCTTAAAATGATTTAATATGTCAAAGTTTCATTGTACCTTTTGCAAATGGGAATATTTGCACACATATATTTTTTTAGAAACATGGTTTATCTCAACTCTTTTCACAGTGAAACTGAAAAGAGAGAACTTTTGTGGTTTATCTAAAGAGATAAACCATACCAAGTTCTGGAGATCCTGGAGCTGAAAATAGTTATATGATAGGAGAGTACTTGGGAGATGTATTGAATAAAGTTCTTGCAACTTCACTTCCTTTCATAACACTAGTGGAAAACGATGCTGTACTAAATTCTCCTTTGTCTGAACTAATGCTGTCATTCTTATACTCAATGAGTTTTCACTAATGTGACTTTTGCATGAGGAGACTATGGCTGGAGTAAGACTTGTCACTTAGAAGGAAAATCAGGTTGCTAATTTCGTAAGCAGGATTAAAAAAAAAACATACAAATTCATCTGATTATAATTATTAAGGCTTCTGGCCAGCTTCGGTTGGCTAATAGTTAGTGGGAAAGATTTCATCTTATTAAAGTTAAGTCTATTCAGTCTCTAAAGCTATTTAGGAATCTTCTTTATCTGCATGGAAACATATAGAAACAGCAATATTTTAGTCTTCTGCTTAACAGCGTAGGCTGGAAGAACACGAAACCTACCTGATTGATCATGCTTTTTTGTAAAATGTCACTAAAACTGGCTGCGCTTGGGGCCAGTCAAGTAAGACCCAGCTAGGATATCTGTATCTGAATTCCATAGAGGATTGGTGTTAGGTGAAAGAGCTACAAAAGCAAGATAGCTCATGTGGCTGTTCTGTTGTATGAAGGGAGAATAAAAGACATGAGGAAAAAAAAGCATCTGAATCTCTGTGGTGATCCAAGAAAAAAATTAAAGTAAGTTTAGGAGTATATTTACTGTGTGATGCTGGTTCTAGGGTTCAAGAGACATGCCAGCAGCTTAGCTGCCTCTTTCTGGAACTCAAAATACCATCTTCACACATTTGCTCTTATAGTCTATAGGTTGTGGGTATTGTCATGATTTCATGACACTTTTGTTTGCTAAAGACATTTACCTATTCTCTAAAGAAATGTAGCATTCACTGTCAGGATAAGAATCTAAAATGCAAAACCTATTTCTCTCTTATAAGCTCTGTCTTATAAGAAAAGGAAACATTAATAAGCTATTCAGAGGGAGCTGAAATATATTTGTAATTCATCTCAGAACAGGATAAGTGGAAAATCAGGGCTCCTATGTGCACCTTAGTATTCACCCATCCCAAAGTTTAGTTGTAGTCTTTGAGTGCTGTCTCTTCCAAAAAAAAATGTTTGCAACAAACTCTAGAAGATAGCTACTATTTTATGACATATCCAGAATTTTCTTCAATGAAGCATGAGAAGTGAGCAATGCACACTTGCAGTGATTCAGGCTAACTGCATGCATGAGTAAGAGCATAGCCAGTAGGTCAAGAGCTGTGGTTATTCCTTTTTATTCAGTTCTGGTGAGGAATATTGTTTCTTTTTTGGGTAGTTTCAGGACAGATGAGATGTCAACAAACTGGAAAAAGCCTGACAGAGGGCCCTTGAGTTGGTTTTGGAGCTGGAACACATGACTTATAAGGAAGAACTAAGAGGATTGGGCTTGTTTAGCCGGAGAAGATAAGGCTAAGCAGGAGGATGGACAACTTGCTATCTTCAACTACCTGACAGTGGTCAGGACCAGACTGTTTTCAGAGATGAACAGTAAAAAAACAAGAGAAAATAGTCACAGGTTGCAGCAAAGGGAATTTGATTGGATATAAGGAAAAAATTGTTCACCAAAGGAGTAGTTAAGCACAGAAACAGCTTGCCCAGAGTAGGTGTAAAATTTCCATCCTTGGAGATTTTCTGATTTGACTGGAAAAGGCCATGAGCAACCTGAATTAATTTTGAAATTAGCCCTCCTTCGAGCAAGAGTTTGTGCTAGATGACTGTCCCATTTTGCAATATAAAAGAAGCATATTGTGGTTGACTAACCACCAGAATGAATGATTCAGAAAAGATAGTTGTTAGGGGGATTTAGTTTCTGGTAATTGTAAGTGGTGAGCTGGATATGAAACAATGTCTTCTTAATAAATGCTTGATCAGAATTATATTATTATTGAGTTAATCTAAGATCCGTCTAATCTCTATCTATTTTCTAGTCTCTATTCTGTTAGATAGCTAATCTCTATCTGTTCTATATTTACATAGATTAGAAAATAATGTGCTTGTTCTACTGTTAGTCTAGCTGAGAAACTTTTCTAAACTTTCCTTTTTCTACTAATCAGTGTGCATCTAGAGTAGATGGGTAACTGTAGTCAAGTTACATACGAATTTCAGTTGGGTAACCAAGAAAAAAAGACTAGGGCTCTTCATATTAATTTAATGTTATTGACTCATAGAAAGGAAAAAAAATGTAAGCAATATTTCTTGTTTAGGTAGAATATTTTTTCATATGGACATCTTCAAGCAAATAATGTTAGATTATACATACATTTAAGCTACCATGAAAAATCTTTGGCAATAAAGATCAGGAAAGAAATTAAAACCAATAAAATTATAGAAAGAAACTTATTACTCACAGGACAATATTTGTATGGGTAGTTTAATATTACTTTCTTTTTCTCTCCCCAAAAGCTAGAAATAAAGATACCAGTAGCTTGTACATACAAAATATAATCAGAATGTTGTCATTATAGATGGTTTTTCTTACAGCTTCAGGCAGTTGAAAAGATCATAATTCAGTTCAGAGAGCTAATAACATACCATTATTTTCTAGCTACTTCGGGAAATAACTTAGACATTATATTATGGTCTTACTAATCTGCATTTTGATTATTTCAGGTTGCCTTTATTTAGGTAACTTCAGAAACAAGATGGGCCATTTTCTTTAGGATATTTTGTATGAAATATCTTTAATCTAGAGATCAGTATGACAATGAAAGTGAAAAACAATGAAGAATGCTATAGAAAACTTATGAATTTTAAGGGTATTATTTAGTAAATGTGCTTTTTTTTGGTCAACATCATCTTAAATTCAAAATGTAATCCTTTATTCCTGTTCATAAAATCACTTTCATATGTATCCTTCCATGTTTTGTGTGATTCTCATTACTGCTAGTGATTTAGGCATGCTCTGAGCATAATAGCTCTAGGGAATATTAGCAGCGCCCACTCCTAATGAACCCAATTAAAGCTAAATATCAGATTAGGTCTGAACAGTTCAGTATTTGTCAGGGAGATGACAAATTATAAGCAAGGGCTTGGAAAACTATCATCCCAGACTTGTCATTCGGGACACAGATAAATTTAAGTCATCAAGCCTTTTCACAGGTCTGGTCCTAAAGTTCAAAAACTGGCCTCTGTGAACTTGTGTATTTACACAGATTCAGTAGAAATCAACTTCAAAATGTGATGTGTAAACTGTGCTTTTCAGCTTTGCAGGTAACATTTAGCAGTACAAAGATGACATCAAAACTGAGTTTTAAAAAATATATATTATTTATGGTCCATTGGTCTAAAATTGTTTGAAAATTATTTGGAAAAAAAATTGTGATTCACTGCCTCTGAGAAAACCCCACCAGGAATTTAGAAACAAACTCTTTTGATACCTTTCACTAGACATAACAAAGTTGATTGCGTCCGATGGATATAAGAAACTTATTTTCCAGGGCAAGCTCATTTGCTGCAGATTTCTAATCTTTTCATGACAACTTTTTGTTTTTGTTTAACAAAATATGTTAAATAAATGTATATGTATATTTTATATATTTGTGAATATATATATATAATTTATATTTTTTAAATGCATATTATGACATAAGAACTTCTTTTAGTCTCTAGAAGAAGGCTGCAAACGTAGGTGCAGCCCTAACAGCTTTCTTGTGCTGCTTTACTAAAATACTACAGCTTAGAACAGAGAGATGTACATAATTTTCTAGCACACTCATTGTCTGAATTCTCCACTCTTAATGCCAGCAATAAGATCAATTATTGCTAACAACGCCAATTGTGCCTTTTGTGACACTGATTTGCTCCTTCAGGGCCGGAAGAGGGATGTTGCATGTACTTCACAAGCAAGGCTGAAGATGGCAAAAAGGCTGGGTGATTCTTTGTCCAGTATCACAACCATAACAAGGTATTTCAGCACTGCTGGACACCTCTTCAGGCATCTGTGCTTATCAGGTTGCTTCCAGCAGCTGCCACTTCCTAAAGCCCCTTCTGTGTGCTCCTTCTGAGGCAGTGAATGACATTGCGTGGGTACACTTACCTTCAGCTCTCTCTCTTCACCACTTGCCTGCTCCTGCTATCATTCTCTTTGATCCCCGTCAGATCTTTGAATGTAGACAATAGAGTCATACTTCTTTTACAGCTGGGTATAATATCTATCTAGTCCTGCAAAAAAGCCCAAATCACAATCTGAAAAATACATGTTTAGGAGTTACTGTGCCACGCAAGCAATGAAAAACTACTTTTAAAATTTGGTCTAAAAGTATAAAGAACTATGGTGTGTTAATCATCATGATCCCAGCTAGACAGCAACAGTAACAAAGAAATAAATCAATCATCCTTTTGATAGAGAAAATTCTGATAGCAAAAGCCATAGGTAGATACAAGTTCATTAGCTAAAATATTTCTCCCCCAAGCGTATTGTTTTCTGTTTGCAGACTTGGATATATGCTATATCTGTAAAAGAACTATTTTGCTCACATGAATATTTTGCAAAACTGGCTTATAAACCTTTTCCAGTGCAAAACAAATCTTAAATCTTCATAGAAGAACAAACTTTAAATATCTTTTATAAAATACTCTGAGAATAAAATGCCATTGCAAGTATTTCTTACAATGGGAGAGTTAAAACTCTTGCAAAGAATTATGCCCATGTGATTTTTACAAATTGAAACGTTGTACAAAGAAAGGAAGTACTAAACTTTGTTTAGTGGAGAAATAAGCTTGTAATTCATAAAGGTTAGTGGAACAATTTAGTGGTTGTTCTGAAGTCAGGGTTCACTCCATTACTATAGAAGAAACTCTCATAATCCTTTGAATACTGATCTCTCAGGTAAGCCATGAGGAAAAAGTAATGGGGTTGATTATTTCAGTCCGCCAATTTAACTAGGTGAAAGAAATGTCCATGGTTGAAAGCAGTTACCTGCATTTTGCAATATGCTCTCTTAATTTGAGCCACATGATAAAATAGTAACTCACTCTTGCAGAATCTGTTACTGTACTTGAAATCTGCAATGGGCAGTATTTGCAGTGACTTAACGGGGGAAAAAATGAAGTAAAACTCTTGCCCTTTTTTCTTGTCTTGAGCATAACAGCTCAGCTTCAGATGAGTGTATGGCTGCTGGACTGCTATGTCAGATTTAACACAGCAGTCTAGCGATAGTTGCTGTACTGGATCTGGGTTTTTTTTTAACTTTTGTTTAATATTAGCTCATAAGTAAGGACTGTTCTCTCCACAGTGCTTCATAACAAAATAAAGCATCATCTTTAATTGCGTTCATTAAATTGTATGTTCTCATGTTAAGCAGCCAATCTCATATCTTACATACTAAGAGCACCTACTATGATACAAGAGTGTCATCTAGTGAATGATTTGGGTGAGGGACACAAAACCGAATGCCTCAATAGTATCCATATTTTGAGTCTTACTGTAGAATATGGTAGGGTGGAATATACTAGACTAGATAGAAGAAATACTTGATGCATTTTCAAACTTTTGGTTTGATTAGCACTACATGCTAAAGAAGAACTATTTGAAAATTCTACTATTAGAAGAATAAACTGTCAGTTACTGCTTTAATACCTGATACAGAATCTTCCTTCATACTTTTGAGTTTTATGTACTAAAATCTCAATCCAAAATTCCAAAACTCAAAAGCCTATAAATAAATTACAGTAGAAAGAAGTTTTCTCTGTCTAACACAAGCATTAACATAACACGCATCAACATTAACCAGGCTTATTTGAAACCTTAAATAGTTCTTTGCTTTGGCTTAGGCAACTATAAACAACTGGTTTTTTTCCAGAAAGACCTGGAAAAAAAATATGGCCTGTAGAGAGCACTTATGTTAAAGGATATTCTATATCTTTACAAAAATTAGCTAGGCTTTACGGTATTCTATTTTAATAGTTATGCCAAGTTCCTTGAATATTTTATGCCTTCTTTGGAATAAAAGACTTAAAGTGGATGTGAACATCCAAAAACTCTATTTTCTTTATAGAACCAAAGGGTAAAGGAGAGTGAGATACCTAGTGTCATCCTGTCCTCTGCTCCCCAGTAAATCAGTGATGTATCAAGAAAGAGGATTGAACAAAATAGTTTTTGAGTTCTAACTACAAACTGCAGTTCTCCCTAACAGACCATTTTGTCGGGAGAACCAGGAATTTTCACTGCCTGTAAAGAATCAAAATCTATATTAAGTAATTATTGGTGATAATTTTAACCCTATAGGTAGGTAAAGGGTGAAAAAAAAAGAGAAGAGAAGAGAAAAAAAAGAGAAAGCCATTAGGGACCTGAAGAAGATATTTAACTGTTTTAAAAATCTAACTTTGAATATCTTTAAATATTATTAAATATGTCATGATAATTACATCAAAATTATTTATCTTAATTTTAATTGATATTACACACACATTCAATGGTATACAAAAAAAGAAAACTAATTGAGTTTTATTAGACTTCTAAACTGAACAGTTAAATAAAATTTAATTGTAATGAAATTAAATTATTGATTGAGACATTTAAAGTGACAGCAAATCCTATTATTATCTAGACTATGAGGATGGTTCATTGTTTGCTTGCAGCTTTTTCTTTTTGTTCTTCCTATTTGCAATCATTCTCTGACCCTTTTCCTAGCTTCCTTTCAATTATAAACTCCTCTTTCAAACTCTGTCACATTTTTTTCCATCTCTGTTTATCTTGTCTCTCTGTTATAAGCTACCCTTTCATTTTCTGACACATCTGCTTTCCTTCCCTTTCCTTTTAGCCCCTTAAATGTCACCTTTTTCATAGCTTTGTAGGGGAAAATAGCAGAGAAATTGAATAACAGTTGTGTAAATAAAAAATAAAAAGTAGTTGTTAAATAAGAGAAATGGGATCCAGTAAGTGATTTAGTCATGGCTGACTTTTCAATATGGATTTATTGGTAACAGTTACAGGTTCAACAAACACTGACCTGACCATCCGAAGCATGGATACACTATACTTTGAAAGTCTGTAGGCTTCAGAATAGGGTGAGTACAGAGCTACACTTTTCTGGTAATCGGTATAAAACAGAATTAGCCCTTCAGTGTAGCCCTAGCACAAATTTGTAACTGTTGCTAGAATATGGGCTTGTGATAATTGCTTTACAAAAATTTCAGGACTATCTTTTGATTACTACAACAAAAGTCTCTGTCCTGCTTGTGTGCTCTTTTCCTCTGCTATGGATTCACTGTGATCTTAGAATAATGATCGCGTTTTGTAATCTCTTTCAGCTTTTCTTTAGTTTGTGTGCTGATTCCTTCCTTTACGAGTGCTATCAAACTGCTCTACTCATTAACCAAGCTGCAGCCAGTATTTTGTTATCATAACAGAAGCATGTTATATTCTCTAGGTAATATCTGGCTCTAAATCTCTTAGCACATTAAAGTTAGAATTATCCTTTCATGGTTCACACAATTACAATTCTTCTATTCTTTCATTATGATCATTATGATCATTAAGGATCACCCCTCCAGACGATGGAGAGGTGGACAATTCTCGGATAATGTGTACATTAGCTTTTCTTCTGCCATTTTTCAGACAGTTGGGTTTTTTTTTTTCCTGTTTTCTTCTTGTAATCACTTATATGTATAATCATTTCTCCCTTCAGGGCATGAATCTCTCTTCCATATAGGAGACAAACACTCTGCAGTCATAACATCAAATTTGGCTGGAATTAAAGAGAAAGATTTTGAACTGTGTCATAACACTCATGGATAAATCACTGTAATATAGCACTAAACCAAAAAAGTCTTTGAATGCGTTGACAGAGACACTGTAGCAAGATCTATCATGCCGCACTGCAGTCACAGCCAGCAGATTCCGTTCCTTTTCCCAAACAAGAGCCCATATAGTTTATCTGAGGTTAGAATGTGCATTTTTCCCTTAGTGTGCCGTGAGAAAACTTAGGATTTTTAGGTATATCACCATTAAAATTACATCTGGTTCCACTCAATCGTCTTACCATCTGCTATGTAGATTATTATCTCTTTTAGAACAAGAACTTGTTCTGTTTACTTGTTTGCCTCTGACAATACTAAAACTCTGCCCATGTTGCTTTGTTACACCCCTAGTAGCATGCTCAGAACAACATTTCTTGGCTTTCAACATTCTTTGGTGGATAAAGTGTTCTCTGGAAGCACTCTGAGATAGTCATAGGTCAAACATCCATGGAATATATCAGGAAGACAATGCTGCTACATGTTCCAGGAGGTCCCATAATATCAAGGAGGCCATGAGGCCACAGTGCATAACCATGAGGTGGGGTGGCCCTCAGTGGGAGAAAGATGAAGAGGAGTAACACCTCCATGCCTCTGACACAAAGACTCTACCAGAACAATGACAACGGCATGAAAATATTTGGAACCATTCTGATGGGCTTCTGGGTCATAGCATTAGGTTGTTAGTTGTCTGGGTCATTCAGTCTCTCCCCTGGTGCCTGGCAGCTGGGATTCTTGCATCTAGCAGCTGACTGTCAGCTGGATGTGGCCTGGTAAGCATTCCTTGAGATGAACAGCTGCCAGGCTACATACCTGGCAGAAGGCTATTCTACCTACAGCCATCTCAGCCCTATTGCTTACACAACTGTCAGTATTTGTGACAGCCTCTGCCCAGGTGTTCATGGAGGTGATTACTTACAAGGAAGATTTTTCTTACATCGTCTGAGCAGTAGGTGCAGATAGCTAGTGACTCAGTCGTGTTCTGTCTCACTTAATCTTCACGGAGGGGAGGGCAGCCAGAGACCTCATGAAAGATTTGAAGAGAAGGCTGAAAGTAATCTCTTGAAGCTGCTCCTTACCCAGGGAAAGCAGAGGTAGAAACAGGGCAGTTCCTAATAATAGGCCTGCAGGCATGCTCCCTCAACCCTACTTAACAGAAAGATCATGCTTGTGGGACCAGGCCACCATTAGCTGAACATTTTGAATATAGATGGGGTCTACCTGTGTGAGCTTATGGCACGTTCTTCTGTGTGTCATCTATCTCAACATAAGATAATATACTTGTTCTTTTTATTATATTTTTTTCAGAGACTCCGGTCACGTTCAGTGACAGTAGCAGGACTGTGCAACAAAAGGCAGATTGGCTTCTCAAACTCAAAGCTTGCTGGATATGGAGGGAACATAGGACATCTTCTGAGGGACAA